CAAGGGAAGGTATATAAGGACTGCCCCCACACATCGGAGCTCAGAATCGGAGCTCATAGCCCTGAAGATGCAGACTGCAATGTTTGAGAAACGTCGGCGCAATGCTGAAACTCAACGCGGCATCCATCCGGAACCCAACCAAGTCAAGACATACACATGTTCGATACATCTGAACTATTAAGAGAATGATAAGTATAGAATACCGCTCGCCAACAAGAAAGTATTAGGACTCATGAATGATGAGAATAATGGTCGAATCACGGTTGAATTTGTAGGCCTACGAGCCAAAACATACGCATTTAGGATGTTGAATGATGAGAAAGCTAAGAAGTAAACTGAAGTTGTTAAAGCTGCTACACTCAGGAAAAGCACATTCAATGATTATAAAAATTGTCTTTTTGGTAATGAGCACATTGGCAGAAATCAGTATTTAATCCAGAACAAAAAACATGAGGTGCACACAATCTGCTAGCAGAAGGTGGTTTTGAATTAGGAAGATGGTAAGCGTATGGTGTCATTCCATACAACAGATACTCTACCTTGGGGTTATTTCAAACCACTTGTGTAATTATATGTATTCTCAGATTGTTTCTCATAATAATAATAATAGTAATAACGTACACATTTGAATAAATGAATAAACTTTTTCAACATTTAACGAAGCGTTTTTATTGTTCTATGTATACTTGTTTTCTTACAATTATCATACAGTTATTTTAAAATGAGTATTAAATATATTCAATTTATATTTTTCTGATAATATAGCATTCAATATTCTTTCATGAAAACTTATTCAACGTTTAAAATCATGATCTCGGCCGATTTTCTCCCGTAAATATCGGTGAGCAGATTGATAATCATCGCCCCAATATACCATTAAATGGACTTCAAGTTCTGATTGGAATTGACCTCGCTTGATCCTTTGCGCTTGTCCTGTCTCTATTGTGGTATCATCCAGAATTTTTTTCACTCGAATAGAAATGAATAGATCCAACATCAGGAGAGTGCAGAGTGATTTACATTCATAATGAACAAGATGCATTTCACCATTCAATTCTCGTAATTTTTACATTATAGCTCCAAACTGATGGCTCAGTAGCCAACAGTAGTAACAGAATCTTTCTTTCTGATTCTTAGTTCCGGAGCGTATATTCTAGAGATCACATATTTCTCCAACAAATCTATCCAGTGGTGGGTATTCCAAAGTGCTGAATGTAAGACCTTGCTAATAACATCATCTTCAGTGAGACAATACGGTGGAACTGAGTGTAATCATTGAATTTCATCAACAGTGAGATCCGCCGATTTAATGTCCTGTAATTGACAAAACTTCAATTTTCGTAATTTGTCGATGAAAACGGAGATGCTTATTAATTCATCACCTCCAAAAAGATAATGGAAACAATCCTTTTTCACAATAGCGCGTTTGGATTTCACTGCTTCATAATTATTTCACTAACTATGCAAGTCATCAACAAGCTTTTCTGCGAATACGTAATCACGCTCCTCGAAATGGTCACGTCCAAGTCCCAACAGGCCATAGGGGGGTTCTCCCATTGCGTGAATCGATGAGTCATCCATCGCGAGAACATTCGGCAATCGTGGCATCACCTATTTTTAAAAAACCTCCCCTCCTCGGGAAGACGAGATAATATTCGCGTATATTCCAGAAAAATTAAGATATTCATGACGTCATTAATCCACTGATCATTCCGTACAAGTCTCAACAGGACTTACCTCACCACGCGGATCAATGAGTCATCGGACCAAGTGATGACGTCATCCATCTCGAACGTTTCACGACTGTAGCGCCGCGTTCATGGAGCATTCCCGAATATTCAAGAATATTCTCGAACAATTATGACGTAATTTCTATTCCAAGACATCAATGACTCATTACAATATCTGATTTCATGCAAGTTTCGACCGCCCATTAACATATCATTTTCATGCAAGTCCTAACAGGAATTACAGGATACCCCCACCACGCGAAGTAATGAGTCATCGGTGACGTCATCCTTCTCGAACGTTCCGCGACTGTGGGGTCAATATCCAATTTCATACAAGTTTCGATCAGTCAATCTAGTATTATATTTCATACAAGTCCCAACAGGACTAAGGGAGACCCCCCACCGCGTGATGATTCATCGATGACGTCATCCTTCTCGAATCTTCCTCGACCGCGGCGCCGCCCGGTGGCGGTTGGGTGAAGTAGTATCCAGAACCGGCCTAGCATACCTACTTATTCTGCCAGAAAACTACTCAAATTTATGAATTATGTATTCATATGTATTTATGAATTAAGGGACAGAAGCTTAAACTCATTGTAGACTAGCTCAATTCAAATGGCATTTTTAAATTGAGGATGGAATTTTTAGGAATTTAGAAGACATTTTCCGTCAGACATGGAGCAAAAATGCTTGAGACATTAATTGATTTTTTTACAAGAAGTTCATGATTATTGAGAGCCATTGCGGCTGGACGAATTAAAAATGATATGTGTCTAAAACAATCAGACATGTACTTAATTCTATTATCAATAATAGGTTTGTTTTTAAGGCGTTCGTATTCTATTTCGGGTCGCATTCCGCACTCTATCCAAACTTATACATACGGTTGTGAATTCTACACTGTACCGCATTGCTATAAAACAGGAGTAGCATAGAAAACCACATAGAACCCATGCCGATACAGGCAGTTACTCTATTAGCAACCTTCCGTTCACCGGAACCTCAGCTTGGAAAATTCGGTTCCACTTGGCATCCAATTTGCAACCTTCCGCACCCTAGACTTGCGTCTAGGCCACTCGGTCACCGATGTCGGTAATAGGGGTAATTCCAAAATTATTTCTCACTGCCGACCAAGGATTTCATCATACGCTTCAGTTCTACTTTAGCTACTTTCCCTGAATTTGTGTAGGGAAATTTATCGAGTATAACAACGCCCCCTCTCAGCTGCATGTGGTCAGGTAAATTCTTTGCGATGAGATCGATGATATCATTTTCCGTTACCTACGCAGGGAAGAAAAATAGAATTTCATATTTTCATGTTCCCTATCCCGGTGTTACGAAAGATATAAGGATGTTTTTCACGTGGACTTACTTTTGCGTCAGAATGTAGTGTGATAAAAGCCATTGGTTGTTCAACATCCTCCCAATGCGGCCTTGCTACTACGGCAGCTTCAAGTACCCCAGGATTACTCAAGATGACCTTTTCAATTACACCTGGCGCGATATGGAAGACTATTCTGAATTTGATCAGCTCTTTCAGACGATCAACGATGAAGAATTCTCCATCGTCATCGTAATAGGCTAGATCGCCACTGTGGTACCATCCTAATGGAATGAAAATTTTTCGTTAAATTAATGAAATTTTGTACTAAAAAGGAGAGGTGCGCACGAGACTTAAACGACACTTCACTTTGGAGGGATCGTCCCGCCCTAAAACAAGATGAAAATTTTCGGGACTGTCTCAGTCTCGAAAGGCATAGTACTGCCTCCCCTTTTCACGACTCAAGAAAATTTATCGCCTCTCGTTCTCTCCTGTTTCCTATTTTTAACGTTCACGAGACCGAGACTAAAACTGAGACCAAACATGAAAAACCGAAAAAAGTGAACACTAACACTGTGACGAGACAAATCGTCTCTAAGTCATTACCAGAGGAGACGATAGTATGCCTTTTGAGACTGAGATAAAATTGACTCCCAAAAATTTCCATGTTTTTTTAGAGCGAGACGATCTCTTCAAGGTGATGTCTCGTCTCAGTCTCGTGCGCAGCCCTACCAAGAAGGAACCCGGTAGAAGATGAGGAATGAGCCTATGTTGGCCGAGTGTACCCCAATGTTGGTCAGCACCGGGCCGTCCTCGATCTACTCTAGGCCTTTTCTCATCTCCTATCAGGACAACGGAAATGAGCAAAAAAAGTTAGGTAGTAGGGCTGTCCACGAGACTCAAACGAGACTTCACTTTGAAGGAATCGTCTCGGTCTTGGGAAACGCAGAAACTTTCAGTGTCGTCACAGTCTCAAAAGGGGTAGTATCGGCTCTTTTCGTAATGACTTACAGTGAATTTATCTCATCTCTGTTCGAATTTTTTTCTTGAGATTTTTCCTATTACAATTATTGGGCACAAATTTGCCAATTTTTCCCGCTGGATTATGATTTGTTTTACATTACTGTCTTGATCTTTCATTTTACCAATCACGAAATCGATGAGTTTGTAGGTGAGCTATGCTATTATTCCGTTTGAAGATCAACTGTACCTTCGTCATCATAGACTGCTTTAGTGGCCTCTGGATTATTGAGGTACCCAAGCATTCTATATGGATATTTTGCACACAATTCTCCTTCCTGATTAGGTCCCAATGTTTTGCCAGTATCTACATCAATGATTTTCAGGTGAACATTTCTTGCAACATGCCCACATGAGGCTGGTTTATCCGTCCACCCAAATCGAGTCGTCAATGCATATAATTCTGTACAGCCTGCTCGGAAATATAAGATTGTTGGATTGATCATCATTGAAAAAGAGTCTTAATGAATCCAATCATTTACCATATCCATGAACGATCATGGCATTTTTGAAGAATCGCTGAGCAAATTCATCGACTCCTGGTGGCATTGCGCTTCCACCTATCATTATATATTCCAAAGACGAAAAATCGTAGCATTTCAGATTTTTAGTCTTCCATAATCGGATGACATAAGCTGTATTGAAACATACAATGCGCTTCACCTGAAAATTCAATAAATTCGGGATAAGTCTATTTAAGGGTATTTTCCGAACTGATTGAACAATTCTATAGTAAAGTCACAGAATGATTCAAGTCGAATGCGGAATCTTTTCTGATGTATTCATCTTGAGTACAGATCAATCAAGATAACAAGTCGCTCTAACTTTTGCGAGTTTAGACGGTTTTTGCTTCCGAATGGAAGCTTTGTTTTCAGTAGATTTTTCGATTTTCTAATTTTGATTGCAAATGGTCTGGAATGTCATGAAACGTGAAGAAATGATGTTTTTAGGGTCATGTCTGTATGTATGTATGTTTTGATTTGGGTCTTTGGTGATTAATTTTTAGAAAATTTAACATAAATACGCTGAAATTTTTAGATACAAATTTGCAATTTTGGCTCATGATAGCTGTAAGTGAGCTCTACTTTGGTGTGTTATTTCCGCCCGATTGGTCCAGTAGTTCCTGAGATATAACAACTTGTTTAAATTTCGTTTTTCCTTAATATCTCAACAACTGCACCGATTTCAATTTTTTTCTTTTCAAAATACTTGTCTTGATGGCATCTACCTAGATCAATTATATCATATATACCGATTCATAGAAAGTTGAGAGATATAGGCTTTTTTCCATTTTGTCATTAAAAATCTTGTGCGCACGATAACTCAAGAAAAAATGGAGATAGCGATTTGAAATTTGGTATGCTCCTAGTTTTTATAATATGAAAGCGGTTCTGGAGATATTCAAGTGTTTGGATAAATTTATTTCTTCAAATATCTCATGAACTCAACGAATTTCAATTTTTTTTTTCAAAATACTCCTCTCGGCGGCCACTATCTGGATTAATCAAAATATGTATACCCGTTCATACAAAGTTTCCGAGATATTTCCATTTTTCTTTTTTTTCATTCTTGTGCGCACGATAACTTGAGACAAAAAGAAGATAGCCAGTTAAAATTTGGTAGGATTATATCTCTCATAATATTGAAGGTCCGTATTTTGAATGGGCGTAATGAGCCTAGTGGTTTGGAAGATATTAATTTTCTTATATAAATCCGTTTTATCAAAAGGTTAAATATCTTCTTCGGAACACCTTACAGAGTGTAGATGCCTATCCCATGGACTCGGGGTGACCGGAAAAATACACAGAAAAAAAATCTGCATTGTGCATATTTTATAATAAAATGAGATATTAGTTGAAAATCATCGAGATGATCAGCAATACCAGATTTAGAAAATTATTAATAAGCCCACTCATCAAGCAATCTCGAATCGAGCAATCTTATATCTAATTTTCAAGGTTAAATTTATTCAATATCAAGTATTAGTTAATAATTTCCCCATAGAAATAGAATTAATGTAGTTGCGTGTGTATGTATGCCATTCGGAAGCTTACTAGGAATGGAATTGGTCCTATCGTAAAAAGGAGAAAGGAAATCGATCTCGAAATATCTGGAAAATCTCGAATAAGCGTAAGCGTAAGACTGAAACTGAAGCACCACTACGTGAGGAGACGAGAAGACGCGTGAAAATTTTTTTAGAGAAAACAAATATAAATGAGGCCCGCATAATAAATATGAAAATATATTTAAAAGCGCTGCAATGGTTTCAGTTCACAACAGCGGCCAGAAATATAATCTCCTATTAATTTATTTTCATATTTATTTTTCACATTCATATACCATCTTTGAATTTTCATAATGTGGGCTTATTTGGGGTTTATACCAGCTGCGTCCACGTTTCGAACCCTGGGTAACGCTGAACGTTGGTAGGACTAGATATATATGCCTTACCACCGTCTTGAATTTAATTTCATACCTTAATGTAATAAATAATAATTTTGCCTTGTGGAGGGAGGTGCCGATTGGGAAGTCCCGTACATTTACGTGAACATCCATAATAATATATGAGGTGATTCAAAGAGGTGTAAATTCATTAGCGGACACCCACCCACAATTTTGAGAAATAATTTAGTAGAGGCAGTGGTTGTAAACAGAAACCGCGGCGATTTGGGAACAAAAACATAAATGGTAAATTTGGTAATGATAATGTTCGAATTTTCAATTAACTGACAGATTCATCGCATTGAATCAGTTCAATATTCAATCAGTTTCCAATAGTGATAGTCACATTTTCAAGTTGAGAAGTATACACTTTTTAGCTCACTCATTTATGGACCGGTGGATATTCATTATAGCGCACAATGCTCACAACTTTTGTTTGAATTTTCTACGCCAAAATTCGGACAAATTTTCATCAAGTGACATTACCACCGAAATTTGAAGACATCTCTTCATTGAAAAGTCAAGCACTCTACCGAAATGCTAATAATTTTATCAGAAAATAAATAAAAGCTACATATTTCAGTTGAATTATTCCGTGAAATGAAAAATTCAAGTTAATTCTGATGTTGACGCCTTAGTTCTACTGAAATCTTATGAATTTCCTTGAATTCCTGGAATTCCAATTCTTTCCCAACAGTTCCACGGTATAAATGGAAATATTATTACTAAATGTTGGTTTTATTTTCGAGGAATAACTCCTATCTACATGAGATAGCAAAATTTTTACAAAGAATTCTTCTGTTGTGAAAAGTTCGAGTTATGAAAATATTTGATTCCCTCGTAAATTCCTCTAGCTCTTCTTGATTCAGAACAATTCCAAGAAAACCCAATGAGGAACTTGATTGACTTTACCCTTCACTACCTCACTGCTGAAATGATTTTCAGACAAAAAGGCCCAAAACTTCTTACAGGCTTAAAAAAAAATTTTAGTTATAATTAGAGATGGACGATACGTCTCGATATATCGAAGTGTCCGATATTGTATATCGATATACCGATATATTTCTACTGATATTTTCGACGACTAATATATCGCTACTCGATATTTTTTCGTCAATATCGAAGTCTAAATTTGTTTCTAATTTTCCAGAATTTCGGAAGAGAATAAGTGAAATATTACCCAGAAAAAAGTGCAATATTCTTTTCAATACCGCAGGATTTTATTTATCTCAGATTTCATCGGACCCCCTCCTGTCTCATCTGATCCATCGGACTCCTTCACTCCACCCATCGGCTCATGGCCATGATGGCTCACTCTAGTTGGTTTTCCCGTCTTGTCATTGGTGAATATTTCAGATGAAAAATATATCGGTTCAACGATATTTTTTTCACGATATCGATATTTTCGATCTGATATTATCAAATTATCTCGATAGTTCCGATTTCGATATTTCCTTCAATATCGCCCATCCCTAGTTATAATACCCCGAGACCCTCACAATTATCGGATATTTCCCGATAGCTGTGCTGCATAGCAACTCGCGCTTCGCGTTAGTGATTTTTATCCTACAAACCCATCTCGATCGCTGATACGCAGGGAAACTTGAACCAAATATCCGATGAATTTTGAAGGTTGAAGGGTATTCGAAGGACAATTTCTTCAATTCTGATTTCGACCAATCAGAGTGCAGTATTCAGGATCACGTGACACCTTCACATCAGTCTTATTTTGATTATTTTTCCCGTGGACAACATCAGGAAGAGAATTAGAGAAGATTTGAACAAATTATATTAATAGAATAACCCGATTTCCGTAGACTGTTAAGTACAGTATTCGATCTGAAATGCGCCGACAAAATAAAGAGCTAGTGCGTAATTGATATCATTCACTTCCGGATGGATGCCGCGTTTGGGTTCAGCCTCAAAGTCGATGTAAAGATGTCACTTGACTTCGAATACTAGTGAGGAGGAAGGAAATTCTTAACAAAAAAGTTGAAGACATCTCCTAAAATGAGACATTAACAAAACAACTCCATGAGTACCTACAGACTGATGAGACGCACAAACCTTGTATTTTTGAACAATTTCCATAATAACTTCCTCATTAGGGCGTGGATGGATTACTAAAGTCGCACAGGATTCAACGGTTATCAATGCGGTCATGAGGCCGGTGACCCAGCTGATTCCAGCAGGACCGAGAATAATGTCGGGAGTCTCAGATATTGGTAATAACTCGGACATTAACCAGCCATATGGAACAACACAACCTTTTGGATATCCAGATGTTCCAGAAGTATAGAGAATCAACGCTGGTTCTCTCAAATCCTGTAAGTCCTCACATTTAAATTTCTCCAGCTCATCAGAGTCCTGCGTCTCTATGATGTGGCTCAGACATTCAAAACCTGGAGCGTCGTTCAGACAAACAATGTTTATATATTCCCCAGTTTCGTCGACCACTTCTTTTATCCTTTTGTATTTGCGCTCATCGGAAAATATAATTTTTGGTTTTGTCAAATTTAAAAAGTATTTTATCATATCTGCAAAATAAACAATACATTTTGTGAGAATTTGAATAGTAATTGAAGCATATATTCACTATTGTATCCTGGAATCTTTTCCAATGGAATGAGCCATTTGTTATTTATCTTTTGCATATATCAGTTGACGAAGCACATTTCAATAATGTGAAGAGAACTGAGTTATTTTGTTACATAATTATTGAAATGAGTCATTGGTCGAAATATTAAATATTTCTGAGTCAGACGTCCGTCATTGTAAATAACTGCTATTCTATCAGTATATTGTTACGTGGATATGTCGGTTTTCAGTTAACCCTATATTGGTATTATAGGGAAACGCCGTAGCGCGTCGTTTTTCGTTAATTACCATTGCCTGAATAACCGGAAGAATTAAAAAAAAATCAACTTTTTCAGTTGAGAAGAGAATATTTTTTTGTATCAATTAAACCTTCTTTGTCAAAAGCAGTTTTTTCTCTCAGTGTACACTCTAAAAAAAAGTTACTACTCACCAGTACTGAATTCTACTTGGGAGAAGTTTTCTTGTGAAAAGTTGGGAAACTACTTGTCCCAAGTACTTTTCATGTCCTTGGGTGAAGTACAATATTTGCTAAGCAAGTAGGAAAAGTACTAGGAGGAAGTACTTTTATTACTTCCTGTCAGCATTTTTCTTACTTCTCACAAGTACTTTTAATGCTTGGAGCAAGTAATTTTTTTACTTCTCGCGAGTACTTTTATGACTTGATTACAGTACTTTTGGTTGGTTATTTTGTTGGGGAATTTCATATCATTAATTATCATTCTCATTATCGTTCTCATTATCATTATCATTCTCAGATGACAATGAACAAATTTCATCGAGGGGAGGTTACGATGAGTTTAAAAATCGCGAGATATTGCAGTAAGATTTATCACACATTGATGATCAATTATTTATATATGTTGAAAGACGAAGAATAAGTGGGGAAAAAAATGATTATTTATTGTTTATTTGCCCCCAAGACCTTGAAAATGAAGAAAAATAGCACAGTGTACTCAACTTTTGAACTACAGGGGTTTCCTTTTGTAAATTTTTCAAAAGATGTCTAGAATAACGGTTACGAGCTACTTTTTTTTTCAAAATTCGTCTTCTAAATAGTCAATTCGTGATTTAAAATAATTATGGTATCCCAAAATATCAATTTTTGGGATACTGTGTTGCATGAGTATTGCAATTTTCTATCAAAGGAGTCACGGAATTGGTTATTGAAAAGACGAATTTAGAAAAAAGTAGCTGGTAACTTTATTCTACACATCTTCTAAAAAATTGAAAAAAATCCTCTGTAGCCCAAAAATTTAGTACACTACTATTTTTGTTTATTTTCAAAGTCTTACGGGCAAATAAACAACAAAGAATCTCCTCTTTCCGCACTAATTCTTCGGTTTTCAATCTGTTTGAAACCTCCCCTTAATAATAAGAATGACAGNCTAAAAAATTGAAAAAAATCCTCTGTAGTCCAAAAACTTAGTACACTACTATTTTTGTTTATTTTCAAAGTCTTACGGGCAAATAAACAACAAAGAATCTCCTCTTTCCGCACTAATTCTTCGGTTTTCAATCTGTTTGAAACCTCCCCTTAATAATAAGAATGACAGGAAATTGAAAAATTAAAAAATGAAGGACACTCTGCATGATTGAACCTAAAATTTATGTTTGAATAGATTTTTCTATCAGTTCGTGGATTTTTTCATTTTCCCTTTAACGTCGCCGCTGCATCTTGCATTAAAGGCAATTCCATATGCTCAACACCACAATTCACAACTTCAACATAGATCATCATTGAAGAAACGAAAAAAAAAAGTGCTTATCGTCCCCCGGAGTCTCTGCAATACCGACTGAAATGGCGCTGCTCCATTCTCTCCGAATCGCCACAGATATCCCCAGTCGATCGTCGACCATCGCCCCCTTCCCCCCGCGGTATTCATATTTATTGGTAAACAAACGTGTTCTAACACATTTCAGTCTAGTCATAATCAAGTGTAGTGTACGTTAGGAGTGTTTCTTTGTTCTGACAAAAAAATCCTCTTGAATGACATCGCCGGGAGAAGAGTCATACATTGTTGTGGACGACTTCCTCAAGAAGTCGGATCTCGAAGAATTAATCGATTTATTCCACAGTAAGTATTTTTTACAGATAACCCATTATTTATTCTATACCTCATTCACGATGGAAGAAAATGTTGTTGATCTCATAAGCTAATATTTAATTTTCCAGCTGACAAAATCGATGACGAAATTTTTTTGGATCTTGAGGAAAAGCAGATTGATGAACTAATCGAGACAAAAGGCCTTCGATTCAGATTTAAAAAGAAATTTTCTATTTATAAGGCTCCATCAGCTACTCTATCACAACACTGCTGAATTATTCTTCTTTATGGCGTTTCTTTGTTGTGCAGAATACAGATGAAGACGATCTGGAGAAAATCGTAAGTCTAAGCCAAACATTGAGTCAGGTGAGTATTCTTCTAGTCATCAAAATAGAGTGATAAATTAATTGCACATAGAAAATAATATTCGGGTGGTAAAACTAAAGCAAATTCCCTTCGTAACATATTTTCCACATCATCATCAGACTACTCTCCAAGATCGATCAAGAGAAAAAACGACTGAACAAGAACCAACAATTGAGACGAGTGAAACAGGATCCACAGAAGATCTTACAGAAGACACGTACGAGAACGAGATCAATGAGGGACCGTCTGTTAGCAGCGTTCAGGCGAATTCGTCCAGTAATCACGTAAGAATGAAGAAAAAATCCATAATAGCAGCAATGTATGAAAGCTATACTGCAATTACAGAAATCCGATTTATCCTGCATTTACCTCAGGAATTAATAATTTTATGAGAGAATGTCACAAGTGATTTCTGTAGTTGAACGAAATGGCATTCAAGCCGTCACTCTGCATTTACTCTCGTATTATTCATTATTGCAATAATTCAATATTCATAGTGTTCTGAGGACTCGATTTGCCAAACTCTCTAAACATGATAAAAAAATATCCAGGAAACTTATTGCTCCATACAGAATTGTCATAAGAGTCAAAGCTTGAAAGATGATTTCACAAAGTTGTCCATTACATACTCTCGAATTCTTAAAAAATTGCAGACACATTTACAACAGATGAGGCGTCCCATAAACTTATGGTAATTATCACGATAAATTTCATAGCTCAATGCTGATAGGTTTTATTCCAGAATAATGTTTATGATATTTTCCCTCGTTGGACCATCATTTTCATAAGAATAAGTCAGGAAACTCTGTTATTCGTTATTCTCTCCTAGAATAACTCTACGAAAAAAGTTTAATTCGGGAAGTTTTAGAAAATTGGATTGTTATATTATATTTTTTTGGAAAAAAAAATTTATCGTTTGTTTGCTTCCGAGACGATGAAAATTTGAAAAATATTCCAGTGTACTCAATTTTTGAGCTACGGACGTATTTTTTCTTCAAAATTTTTAAACAGATGTGTAGAATAATAATTACGAGATAATTTTTTTGAATTCGACTTCTAAATAGGCAATTTCATTCTTTGTCCCATAATGAAATTGCAATTTTCACACAAGGTAGCTCAAAAGATTAATACTTCAATTTTTTTGTTCAATATAAAATATAACAATTATTTTGAGAATCATTTTGCTGGCTATTTCGCATGAATATTACATTTTTTGTTATTAAAAAAAAAGGACTATTTGGAAATTAAATTTGGAAAACTTAATTGGTAATTGTTATTCTACACATCTTTTGAAAAATTTTGAAAAGAAAATTTCTGTAGCTCGAGAATTTATTACACTGGACTACATTTCAATTTTCAAGCATTTGAGGGGCAAACGAACAATAAACAATAATTTTATTTGCATTAATTCTTCGTTTTTCAACGATCTCCAGTGTATGATGAATCTTACTGTAATATCCCGCGAAAATCCATTAGTACTGGATTTGAGTACTATTACTACTTGTCTCTAGTATTTTTTCTACTTTTGAGAAGTACAGCTCGGTACTCAGTACACGTACTTTTAGTATTGATGATGAGTACAGTTGGTACTTGTCACCAGTACTAATTGTACTTGGAGCATAAAACTTGTATTCAGTCAATTTTCGACTTGGACCAAGTAAAAAAATTAGCTTTTCTCCAGAAACGCCTCGGTNGAGAAGTAATCTTTTTTTAGAGTGTAGCAAATCTTTGGAAAATGCTAGGAGGTTCTGAATAATTCTAGGATAGTCTCCAGTTTCACAAAAAATGAGGGAATATCCAAAAAATTATAGAAACTTTTCGCCCTCAATTAAAACAATTTTTGTAGACTACACCCAAATAAAAATTACTTCTGATCAGTAGAAAAAGTACTTGTACCCAGTTTCAAGGGGTTTCTGAGAAAAGGCCCATTTTCCTGCTTCCTCGAAGTTACAAAACAACATGATGCAAGTATCATCCGTCAAGTACCTGTGTACTGGTGAGAAGTATCTCAGTACTTGTCACAAGTACTTTTGTTACTTGGGACAAGTAACAAAATTACTTGTACTGAGTACTTGGCCGGTTCTTCTCAAAAGTACCAAATAACCTCAATATAAGTTCAGTATAATAATTCCAAAATGTTTTTCTACCTCTTCTAAAGACCGAATTTCGTCAAAAATTAAAAAATCCAACTAATTTCCTTTTTGTAAGTAACAAAATTGAAAAGAAATTGAAAACAATTTTTCGAAGCCTTTCACATGTTGATAACAACATAAAACATAAAAACTTCAACAAAATTGAAATTTTGCAGGTCGGAAAGCATACCAATAATTCTTTTTTTTTTTTTTATGCTTATTTTATATCGCTTCGAGTCTGATGAGACTATATGGCGATTGATCAAGACTTTTTAAAAATGGTTAGATCTCACCATTCTACCCGGCCAGGAATCGAACCTGGAACCTATCCGTTGTGAGGCAACGGCCTTAACCACTACGCCAGGCCACCGGTCCAATAATTCTTGAAAGCATCCATAAAAATCGCAATCTATTGATTTTTTCCCACAAAATATCTTCTGCTGAACATTTCTATTCACAAGAATGGGTAAGAAAGCTCATTCTATCCGGTGATAATATTCACTTTTCTCAATAAAGTAAGCAATGAGAAATACTGAAATTAAGTCCTAAAAGTACCTGAGAGAAGTTGAAAAATTACTTTTCACTAGTATCTTTGGTACTTGTGAAACGTACTAAAAGTACTGGCAGAAAGTAGTGAAGCTACTTCCTCCTAGTACCGTTTCTACTCGATCGGCAGATGTAGTACTTCACCCCAGGACATAAAATATTCTTGGGACGAGTATTTTTAGAATTTTTCAAAAGCGAACTTCCCCAAATACCGGTCGGTACTGGTGAAAAGTATTTTTTTTTTGGGGGTACGACAACAGTAACTACCATCGTGAGCTGATTATTTATTTAACGTTAACCAAATTCGATTTGTTAAATAAGTCATTTACTGTATAAAAAAAAATTTAATCGCTATTTTTCCATAGCCCTTTCACAGATTATTAACTTTTTATATACAAGAATGCCTTACCATCAGTCAGAGTAGCGTCCCACCAAGAATTGGGAAGCGCTCCAACAAGAAGGGATGCGATGAGAGGTACGACTGTGTTCAAATTATTGTAACTGCAAATACCGATAATATCACCAGGTTGTACATTTTGTTTTTTCAACCAAACAGCACAACTCGTTATTCTATCCGCCATATCACCATAGAGTTCTTTGTGACCAGTCAAAGCATCTATCTGAATGCGATGAATAAATCATTCATTATTCTTGCTTGAATATCACTAGAATCTGTAAAATGCATAAGGAAAGAAAACACTCACTTGACTCACGCGAAAGGGATATTTATTAAGACGTTCCAACAATGTACTCCTAAAACGTTGCCAGTCTTTCATTGGAGGTTTAACAATCCCTTTCCAAACGCCATCTTCAAAAATTGGTTTTTCCTGAAAAAATAATTTGTTCAGCATAGTATCAGTGAACCCGAAGAAGACCAAAACAGATATGTATACGTATGGTTCAAGGATCCGGGCTGATTGCAGGGTTTTTCTTTTGCAAGGATTGATTATAATATTTTGTATGCGTATTTCTTTTCTATTACCATCACGATTTTATAGGCTCCCCTTGTCTGCCTAGCCTCTCCCACTTCTCGTATAATTTTTATCTGCGTTACTATGCGCCGTCTTACTCTTAACTGTACCCCATTCGGGCTAGTACTGCACGGGAAACCATGAAAACCCGCAGTCACAGAGTCGGCCAATTGTGCAGAGCTCCAATGTGCCGTGCTGTCACACTAATTAGGGGGGGGCATTAGGCCACGACAATGTGTCTACCTTCCGAAATTTTTGGGCGAGGGTGTTCCCAAGCGGTCACCCATCCAACTACTAACCGTTCTAAAGGTAGCAAGATTCCGGATGTCCGCCGGAGCAACACCCACTCAACCACTCACCCAACCATTACGGTCGGCTGGTTGATTATAATACATTTTCACATTTGGTAAAAGAGTAAACAGCAATTTTTGTTTGTTTGTTTGTTGGGGTTTAACGACACATCAACAGCTACGTTATTAGTGACGATGTTATGACAGTATTTCAAGTGAATGATCAGAATGCAATCACACATGATGGTGAGAATCAGCTGTAGTGAGCTAGTTTCTCGAGACTCGTGAAACTTTAGGTTGTATGTAAATGATTCGAACATGCTCAATTCTATTTTCTCTCCGCATTTTAACATTTTATTTCAAACATTCTTAAGGATGTCTAGCCAAAACTCACATTATTCACCATAATTCTGATATTGTCTCATATACCAGGTTCATATTTGAGCCATATGTTAATAATAATCTCAATCCTTCGGTCGGGGCATCCTACTGAGAAATTAATATCTGAAAATCACTTCTTGTAACATCACACTTAGGGAAGAAACGTGACCGTGTGAACTTTGATCGAGATGTTGTATGGTTTAGACACCCAAGATATTGAAGAAAAACCACAAGCCGTTTACTTTAGACTATAGAGAATCTATCGCTGACGAGAATAAATAGCGGACCGGGCGTTATGTAAGCGTGATCTCTTCGATTGATTTTCGAATTCCTCTGAAAAAAAAATTGACCGCCATTACGAGTCGAGCAACGCGGCAACACCGCACAACAGTTGATCGAGGTCGGTAAAGTCGATAAGCTCTTTGAAAATGTTCCTTTTTTTTTCTACTTTTTTTTATCGTACAATCACAATTTTTAGGGACTCCTGCGTAAAATCCAATGGAAATTGTGATATATTTTACGTTATGCAGATAATCCACACGGGTCTTAAGGCGAATAAGTTAATAGAATTTCGTGTTTCTCTGCAAATTCATGCAAAGACTCAATTCATTAGTGGCAGGAAGACAAAAATCCACAATTTACATGAATTTCCAAGTGAAAATGAATTTTCGTTGCCAAATTCCATTAAAATTTCAGGGAATTCCTTTAAACCTCTCGGATTTCCTGGAATTTTGAAGGAATACTCTGAAAATTCAAAGGAATCTGGAATTCAAGGAGCGATTTTTCGGAATTTTCCTGATTTTTCATTCATTTTTCCGGAATGATTGAATTGAAATTTGAAGGTTTCACTGATTTTTTTATGAAATTACAAATTTTCAATTACAAAATCCGTGAAACCACTTGAAATCACTACTTGAAATTTCAGTGGAAATGTTACTTGTTGGAAATTTCAACAATTCTTACCGAAAATTTGAGTAGAAAATTTTAACAGAGTATATCCCCCCCTAAAAACTCTTTTACAATCTAACGATATCCCTGATTCCTTTAGGGTAGACCGATCGTCATATAGATAAGAAATACAAGAAAGTCTAGACAGCCTCTAATTCTCTTGATGTACACATTGGTTGATAACACGTTTGTTCCTCAACCAATGGTGTAATTCTTTTCATAGAGTGGACTATAATATTGGTGTGGGTGGAAGAAAGTGAAAACAAAATCTAATGTTAACAAATTCATATTCTTTGAAAATTCGGATGACTGCACTGGTAGAAAGGGTAGTTATCGTTAACGAATGGATTTGGTTGGGGACGAGGGTCTATTCGGTTTCGCCAAATGTTCATTCGTTAATAATTATCAAATGCACAATGCAGGAGCCTTGTTCGACTCGATTTTTACTTTTCAAGTGAACCATTCGTTAACTATTAATGAATATTCATTTGATCACATACAACTCTGCCATTCGTTAATAGTTAACGAATCTCGTTTGGAATAAATAAATCAGTTTATCAGTATGCGAGCCGAAAAAGGAGGAATTGCGACGACTGGAAGTATGTCTCCACAAAGGGGAAAGGGAAGACAATTCGCCGACGAATGAACGAGTCTTCATGCGTGGGCCTGCTCGGTTTTGGGTTTTGCTCACACACACCAAGCGGTCAACGTCAACGAAACGACTGACAGGAATTTTTGAGAAACGAAATTCTGAACCTGATGAGAGAAAATCTTCGAGAAGACTATCGACGGAAGCGTGAGACACATAAAATGGAGATCATCCATACACGGAGAAAAAAATACACTGTTTCTTGAAATTTCTTGAAATTTCAGTCACAATGTCATCTGAATTTTCAATCTTGTGTGTTTGAATTCAATTTTAAATGAAAACGTTCACTATATTTCTTATTTATCTTGAAGATTCAAGAAAATTAGGTTTTTCATGTTGAACGACCATTGATGTTTCAACGAAAGCTTGAATTTTCAAACTCATCGTGAAAATCGAATATCACATACAATTCAATTTCTAATAGATTGAAAATTCAGAGAAGTTATTGCCTGAATTTTCAACATTTTCAAGGTTTTTCAGTGCCATATCGACCTGAAAATCGAGAATCACTTGAATATTCAAGAAATTAACTGATTCGTTAATGCAGACTTCTACAGAAATTTCATGTAACTTTCTCGTCGTTAAAAATTTCAAGCAAATTACGTGCCAACAAAAATTTTCATGAAGTTATAAGAAACGGTGAGATGCAATTGAATAATATCAGGTTTCGTAGCATCCGCAAGTATAAACAAATAACGAAATCTGCTAAAGTTGCGCAGTTTCAATCTCACAGAACAAAACTTTATTTGGGAAAAAGCTGGGGTTTTAATTTATATAGACGATATGAATTATAATTAATAATAATTGCGTGAACTGATATGAAAGTTATATAGGTACGATTCAGTTGCTATCCTTTTATCAATGTGCGATAACTTCGTGGTAACCCGTTCGGTTACGACTCGAGAGGTTGTAGGTTCGAATCGCCGAAAGAAAAATTTAATTTCTATTTAGATCGATACATTTCTTTAATTGATGTGATGCTCGACGTAAAAATTCATGATTTTGTTTTCATTTGTATTCGAAATTTATAATACAGCAATATAACATTATATGATAATCGGGAAATTTTATACCACCCTAATACAAAGCATCCAACAATACTGAGCTGTAAATTGCCAGTACGGTCTTGCTACATTGCTGCCATCACACGTATTGAAATTTCCTGTGAGGAATTTAATAGTAGCATGCACATTGTACATATTTGCAAAAGAATCTACATAAAATGCATTGACTTATCCCATCTTATGGCTGTAGCTCGGATTGATAAGTAAATGAATCAATTTCGGGTAGAATAATCCATGTGTACTGAATGCAATCATGAATATAACACTTACCGATTGTTCCATTGCGATGATTTTCTGATATTCATGAATAACTTGAACAGCTACTACGCATCCAACGTAATGCCGATTAAACAGAGACTGTCTTCGATTATATTTAGCTTGAAATGTGATGAATCATGTTGTGCATTGATCTTCAGCAAGCGTTAGATAAAACGCTTGACTTGGCTCACGTTGTAACTATGTCACTGCAACTGGTTTCATTAGTATAAACGAAAACAATGTTTTGATGGCTTTAACTACAGTAATTGTCCGATATATTTTTTAATTCATTCCAAAACACCTCACATCATAAGAATTAAATATGGCTGAATTGATTCTTTTTCAACGATATACTATGAAAAATTGGAAGCCATTAGAAGTTGATCAAAGATGAGAGTTTTAGCTCATTCGTCATACATTGAGAAAAATTTTCTGGAAAAATTCATGGGCTACCACAGAAACGATTCACAATTTACACACTTGGAACAATTATTATGTAGCACCAGCAAAATTATGGGCGGCACCATAATTTTGACAAATGTACGAATTGTGACTCGTTTATGGAGCTTAGCACATGAATTTTTCTAGAAAATTTTTTTCCGTGTAGTTTCTGTAATAATTGAAATACATATACTTTATAATATGATGAATATGTTCAATATATTCTTTTTTTAAATGATAAATATATTTATCAGATGTGGACTTTGCACATATTTTCCGCGATGTAATTATTATGATTTATTTAGAATAGATACAGCGATACGATGTACTAGTTACGCATATTTGTCTCTCTTCATTGACAGTCACTCAAGTAAAGCTGGTGTCTTCTTTGACCGCCCATCCACCGCGAGTATTGCGCTGAGACTCAAACTATCTACTGATAAATTATTTTTTCTCATGTATTATCTCTTCTCCTACCCTCTCTTCTTCTCTTCGTTGTTAATGAATAACAACAAGACGACTGACGATAATGTCAATCTCAAGCGGGAGGACAATAGCGTTTAACATGTTTGTGATTGCATATGGAATGAAGGTTTACATGCGACCACCTTTTTACAAAAAGTGAGAAACTGGAAAGTTATCAATGGGATTTTCAGGTTAATTTGAAGTTCAGATTTCCGAACTCTCCAAGCCGTCGCCGATGCTCTTCGCGAAGAGTTTCTTTGGCTACCATCGCATTAACTACGGGTCGCTGATGGAAGCCATTTTTAATTCTCTTCGGCGTCTAGCTGTTTGATGACGCTTTCATCTACCAGCTGAATCACATACCATGACCTACCTCGTCACGTACTTTGCCCCTTTACATGTAGAAGACTGCCCACTTGTCCAACCCAAAACAATTACCGACTGCCCCTGAACATATTGTGACGTCAAGCATAAGCTTCAGTTGTCGCTCTTCTGAGGCAAATAAGTTCAAGTCATCCATATAAAATATATGACTTACCTAATGCTTCCTATCATAAGGCCGCCCAGCTTGGTATCCACTAACGCAGCTCAGAGCGACAGATAGCGGCATTTACATTGATCGAAAAGGTGGAACAATTTAGTTGCTGTTAACGAGGCTGTTTAAAAGCAACTAAATCCTTCTATCAGTGTATGAGATGCAGAACAGGAGAGGACTCAGAGTATCACCCTGAAGGATTTCTCTTCTGAATGGCACCAACCATGAAGTCAGTTAGTCTTCACCAGATGTTATGATGAAGCGCATTCTCCAGAATGCCGCAAGATCTTTAATACATCTGACTAGGTTGGGTTCTACCGCAAAGAAGTCTAATACCAGAAAAATTGGCCCATGATTCGTGCTATCGAATGCCTCGCGATAATCACTAGGCCAGCAATCAAACGCTGGCATAACCTGTTAAATCTAGTAACATTACTGACAGATTGCCATGACGCTGCCTCGAATCGTGCACCACGTAGCAAGCTGTGCTCCTTATAACCTGTCAGCGAAGTCTTGGCTCCTCGTCCTGATGGTATCAAATAGAAGGAAGAAGAAGAAGTATTGAAATAGGCTGATCTCAATTTAACTGTTGTGTTTAATCGGAAGATTAAGTATGCATTTACAAAAGGAGTAAAACCATAGAAAAACATTCAACTGAGTCATTCTGTATTCATTAAAAAAAAAACACAAATTCTGAAAGTTTCATGTAAATAAATGAACTGAGATGATTTTTATTGAAATATAATCAGCTTCGAGTGATGTCGGAATGCATTTTCTACAACAAAAAATTTAATTCTATTATGTTTTCAGGGAGAATCTATAAGCAATTATTCATGTTTTTTTTCTATATAACACCTTTCTTGCGAATGTCTCAAAATTGCTGAGACGATCGAAATATTATTTGTTCCAAGTAACGCGAAAATGTATCGATTGCCAACAGAATAATTTTGATCGAACCACTCGTTTGAGAGAAATAGTGGTGCAAAATTTAGGTCACATACGCACACATATTATCAAAGTTAGAGTCCGCATACAAAATGACCAATGATGAATATGTCTTTTTGGGGCTTTTTCATTTATTCTTTCTTGTTACACTCAAGGATTCAACGGGAGTTTATTCATACTACTGTAATAAAGCACGTTCACTATCGTTTGGTGAAACATTTCTAAGTAATAACGAATTAAAAAGTACAGATCCCTGGGACTAAACTTCGGAGGCAGTTCTGGGGTTCTGGGGTGGAATGATAATGCAAAGCATTCACTTCATTCTTCCTATGATTATTTGCTATGTTCACGGGATTCCCTACGAAACCAAAATGACATCGATGTAGATGGATGATGTGAGAGCAAACGGATCTACAGCATCTACAACATCCGCAGTCACAATCACACCCAAAAAAAAAGCTTTTGATCAGTAGAAAAAGTACTTGTACCCAGTACCAAGGGGTTTCTGAGGAAAAGGCACATTGTTGTACTTCCTCAATGTTACTAAACAACTTGATGCAAGTATCATGCGTCAAATATCTGTGTACTGGTAAGAAGTACCTCAGTACTGATCACAAGTACTTTTATTACTTGGGACAAGTAACAAAATTCCTTGTACTGAGTACCTGGCTGGTTCTTTTCAAAAGTACCAAATAAACTCAATGTAAGTTGCGTATAAGACCTCAGAAATGTTTTTCTACCTTTTCTAAAAACCGAATTTCGTCATAAATTCAAAAATCTAAATAATTAGCTTTTTGCGAGTAATAAAATTAAAAGGATATTGAAAATAATTTTTCGAAGCCTTTTAAATGTTGATAACAACATAAAACAAAAACCTCAACAACATTGAAATTTTGCAGGTTGCAAAGTATACTAATAATTCTCGAAAGCATCCATAAAAATCGTAATCTATTGCTTTTTTCCTACAAAATATCTTCTGTTGAACATTTCTATTTACAAAAATGCATAAGAAAGCCCATTCCATCCGGTAATAATATTCACTTTTCTCAATAAAGTACTCAATTGGAAGTATTGAAATAAAGTCCTAAAAGTACTTGAGAGAAGCTCAAAAATTACTTTTCACTAGTACCTTTCGTACTTGTGAAAAGTACAAAAAGTACTGGCAGAAAGTAGTGAAGCTACTCCCTCCCAGTACCATTTCTAATCGATCGGCAAATGTGGTGCTTCACCCAAGGACACAAAATGTACTTGGGACGAGTATTTTTAGAACTTTTCAAACGTGAACTTCCCCCAAGTACCGGTCGGTACTGGTGAGAAGTACTTTTTTTTTGGTGCAACATAGCGAGTTGACACTCAAATACAACTCCGTATGTGTCAGTGCCCGAAGTAGCGAAAATTACTATACAAAAATGCCAAATGCCTATCGAAACTTAGAGTGGAAACGGAATGGAATAATACGGTAGCTATAGTGAGAATTGCCATAATATCTTCGAGCCACACAACTTTTAATATCGAAGGGTGTTTTCTTACTTTCAGCATAATATCAAGCGTGCGGATTTAAATTTAAAAGTCTTGACGGTTACCGACTCAACAAAGTATACACACCCGATATGCTAATGAAACGATATGAACTCTCTTACCGGTTTCAATAAAGAGGAATGAAATGCCGCGGGGTATAGAAATATTCCCATAAACTTTAATTCTACATAGGGGGGAGGAAAAAAATACCTAGAATAAAGAGCAAAATTCATGACTCATTTATTCATAAGCGCAAGGTTCTCGACGGAGAGAAAAAAAAATTTTTTTTTTGTTGATTTAGAGAACAAAAAATCTGAATTTTCTCTATGTCCACCCTAAAAATAGTACTTCTCACCAATACCAAAGGGTACTCTGGGGAAGTTCACTTGTGTAAAGTTCGACAGATACTTGTCCCAAGTACTATTTGGGTCCTTGCGCGAAGTACAACATCTGAGAAGTACCTGGGTATTGGTGACAAGTAGTTCGGCTACTTTTCATAAGTACCAACTTTGTTACTTAGTACTTGTCCCAAGAACAAAAGTATTTGTGACCAGTACCCAGGTACTTGACACATGATACTTGCATCCAGTTCTTTTGTGACTTCGAGGAAGTAGAAAATGTGTACAAGAAATACAAAAAACATCATCTTTTGACACATGAATTTTACTAAGAATTGATTCATTTGTATGATAATTAGATGATTAACTGCAATTTGGTCATTTTTAATAGTTTGGACATTTCAGTATCAATAACTGCTAAACTATTGCAAAAGGCTGACTTTAATTGACGCAAAAGTATTCGTTATTTTATCGGTATTCTTTGGTAAAAATTTCTGATTTTTTTAAAATTTGGTGTTCGAGATAATCACGATTGAAAAAAACACTATTTAGTTCACAAACCCCTTAAAATTAAAGTGAATAGCATCTGGAAGGTTTTTTATGTTCTTCAATTGTGTTCAAGAGAGTTTTGATAGCTCTAAAGGGGGCAAGAATATTAATGGTAATGTGGAAAGAAAAGTTCTTTAAAAGAAACAGGAAATTTGCAAAAAGTCGCCAGACAAAGATTTTTGTTTCAAAATGTTCGTCTGGCGCCGAATTTTTCAGAACAAAATTGGTAAGAAAATACCTCCAGTTTACCTCCAAAGGTAAACTTTCCAAAACATTTTTCAGATTTTTATAATGGTTTCAGTTCAATATCGACATTGAAATTCAGACCTACAAAGTTTAAATAATACAATTTTTGTAAAATATCCGGAAACTTAGGGTCAAATGGGGTTCAACTGAAAGCTCCTAGGCTCGACTACAAAAGTAGAAAAGCATTTTACTGGAGAAAAAATAGCCAAAGTACTTGGATTTTCTTAATTCACATGATTTATATTTTATTCAGTTATATTTCCACTGAAGTAACCCATATTTATTATCGATTCTGACCCTTGACAATGATCCTACATGTTGATATTGGTGGGTTGAACACGCTCATTTCTCGAATTTTTAATTTATATCATTATTTGCACTAGACTATGCCTTCTCATGTGATACTGCATCCATTTAGCATGTTCCAGTCCTGATTTTGGTCTTATATTTGAAGTATTTGACGGATTATGTTTCATGCAGAGACTAATCTCAGGCTCATCTCGATGAATGCTCTCTATTAAGTAGGTGTATTGTGATTTGACTCACTAGCAGTTTTTTATCTTTTTTAGAGGTTTCGCAAGCAAAAATAATTAATTTTTTTTTATTGTTTTATGAAAATCACTGAATGCATGGAATATTCAATTCATTTTTAGACTTAATGAAGTGCAACTATTAGCATACAGCATACGATGGTATCGATGGATTTTCATCCCCCGTATGTACGCCCATGTGGGTGGTACGTGGGCGGTGCAACGTTCGAGCTTGCAATTAAGAGTAACGCGAGAACTCTAGGGCAATGAGATAAGGGGTTAGACT